CCATGAACGGAATGCCTTGGTCTAATCTACTCCTAGCAGTCTCAATTGTGTTCGGTAGCCTCAATGCATCTAAATGTCTTGGGTTTCTCAAACACCTGAAAGTGCCAGCCATTTTTTCATCAAATTTCAATATCATTCAATCAGCCTACATAATACCAGCAGTCCTTTTAACCTAGGATTTCCACGAAGCTGAGCAGTGCTGGACATGTATCGGGATAGGATTCTTATCTAGGTGGTGATGCAAGATGCGATTCTCCAGAAGACTTTTTCACAAAAAAATTACGATAAACTTCTATCGTACGAGAAATCTTTTGAGTTTATTCCTTTTCACGAAAATTTTTACAAGATTCTTAAATTTGTTAAATTTGTCGTAACTTAACGAGAGTCCTAGCAGTTACATAAGTATTTTAGAACCCATTTTATGGTAAAAATATAACCGCAAAAACCAAAATACACGTTTAATTGAATTTTTGTAAGGAACCCAAATTAGCATTTTATATTTTTATGCCCCCATATCGAAGATTCGGGGGTATATAGTTTTTACCCTTCCGTCCGTCTGTCTGTCTGTTTATCTGTTTGTCTTTTTGTCCGCAAAACTTTAACATTGCTCATAACTTTTGATTGGTTGGAGCAATGGCTTTCATATTTCACACGTCTATTCCCTTTGACAAGACATTTCTTTGTGTACCATCATATTTGACTGTTTGCCCTTGACATTGGAGTTTGACCCAGTTTTACAAAATTTTACCCAACATTAACCTAAGCCATAACTTTTGAACATTTAGTGGTAGTGCTTTCATACTTCACATGTGTCATTCTTAACACAAGACCTTCCTTTGGAGACAAACAACTTTGACCTTTTGACCTTGGAGTTTGACCTACTTTTGAAAAACTTTAACCTTGGTCATTACTTTTGAACAGTTGATGCTAGAGCTTTCATACTTCAAATGTTCAATCCTTGTGACCAGACCTTCCTTTTGGTACCATCTCATATTTGTCCTTTGACCTTGACCTTGGAGTTTAACCTACATTCGGAAAACTTTAACCTTTGCCATAACTTTTGAACAGATGGTATTAGGGCTTTCATACTTCATATATGTGATGCTTTGGACAATACTTTACTTTTGATACCAAAAACTTTTACCCTTTGACCTTGACCTTGGAGTTTGACTTACTTTTGAAAAAATCTAACCTTTTCCATATCTTTTCAATGGTTACTGCTAGGACTTTCATATTTCACAGGTATATTCCTCGGGACAAGACCTTACTTTGGATACCAACACATTTGATTTGCATTTGAGAAAGTTTAACCTTCGCTATAAGTTGCCATACGGGGGCAACAGTGTTTCACAAACACATCTTGTTTCACAATTATTGTCAACAAAGGAAATGGATATACTATTAAATATCTACGATGGCAATTTAACTTAAGATTTTCGTATGACCTACTTCGTTAGACTTGTGATTGTGACGTCATATTTCAAACTTCTTTGCTTCACAATCGATTGCATTCGATATTTGTTGTCAATAATGTTTGTTTTGCTGACAAGTGTTAAAAACTTATCTTTATTTTTATTTTCATCCACTTTCTTAAGGATAATAAGGTATAATATTGACATCGTTGCTAGAATTCTGTCGTAAATAACATCTTAAGTTTAAAATATTACGAAAGTGTTCGTTTAAAGCACTAAAGATTTGTCGTAAGAGATTCTGAAGTTAAAATCTTACGCAAAAACTTAAAATTGTTTGTGAAAAGGGCTACTGGTTTCTCAGCCAAGTTCGGATGGTACACCGTAATGGACTCAGAAAATGGAAATTTGTTGGACTTGTAAATATTTCAGGTACCTACTTGGTATATAAACTGTTCCTACTGGGGTTAAAATGAATAGCTAGGGAGATATCTGTTTTATATTGGGGTTTAAGTAAAGATTTAGGCTGTGTAATTTCTTTATGAAATATGTAGCGATAACTAACAGTATTTGAGCTCAAAAGTCAATTAAACATTACAAAAATACGAGCAGAGCAAGCACGGACCTCTAAGACATCAGAGGTGGGATCAGGTGTCATGGAGGAGTGAGCATTCCCTGCCGACCGGTCACACCGCCTTGTGCTCATATATAATATGATAATAATGAATTATAACTTGTGTGCCAATAACAACTATTAATAAAATCTTCACTACATTAAGGTGAATAAAATAAATAAAAAATTTATAGATATAAAGTTTTGTGTAAGCCTAACCTAATTCATACACTTGTACAGTCATTAATATAATGCTCTTTTTCACAATTTAAACAGTAACGAAGTTGCTGATTCAATTCCTGTAGAGTTAGAGGGCTCAAAGAGGGGACTGGGAAGAGGCAGGCATCAATGTCCAGGTCCTTGTTAGAGACAGGCATGGGGTGGTAAAAAAGTACATGATGACTGAGCATGTAGACAAGAAACACTACTTTAATGTGTGGTATTTTATGTAATTTTGATCCTTATCATGTAAACAATTTCCGAGATGAAAAAAGGAGAAGTTTTATTTGAAAATTATTTTCGTAATAATGATGAAAAGGTTGAGATATAAATATTTGTATTAGTAACATCATTATAACTTGTGTTGAAATTAAAGGGGATTACACAAGTTCCAAGTTTTAAAAGATTTATATGAAATACCTTTTATATAATTGATTACATGTAATTAAATATTTATATAGGTGTTTCAAAGAAACTGGAATCGGCGGCCAAGAAGCAAGACTGTAGGGACATCCGTCGCTGAGTGAAGAGTTCAGTCAACCATGCACTGTCACTGGGTGGTAGCCTCCAATTGGGATGATGGGCAAAAGAAAGAACAGAAATGGTCATCGCCGACAGATATATATGACAACTGTCAACGTGATCTGTTGAATGAGGACCGACAATTGCTTAGAGAAGGTAACTTTGATAAAAATAATTTTAATAAAAATTTTGATAAAAATAATTTTATGCATGTAATATACTGAACTAAAGTTGTCTTATGTTCAGTGCCCATAGATAACCAAGAATAATTATTGAAATATTACATGACTTCTTACTATTCTATGCAATTTTAAAGGTTCCAGGGCCCACAAGCTTTTCGGGGAAGAAGTCAAAAGCAAGTTCCTCGTGAATGACATTGGAAACTTATCTTCCCTGTTTCGAAGTGAACCAGCTTCGCATCAAAGACGCCACACTTTTTCTACCCTGCAATGCTGGCCAGGTAATTTTATAAAATTTCATATAGTATTTGAAGATTTAGCATTTTATTTCATACATCCCTGATGCAGTAAATTCATTAAGTAGTAATCACTATTTCTTTTTATTCTGTACAGACTGAGTGTGACAGTTCTACATTTCAGTAAGAATGGACAGCGTCCTCAGGCTGTTACCAGAGCTGGAGAGTTACAGTGGCTCGCCGGCAACTTCTAATACCGGGTATATCTTTTGTTTCTCAGAAAAAAGAAATATCTGGTTCTCATATTAACTCTTTAATTCATCAGTGCGGGACATAAGCACATACAAATCGTCAAATATCAATTACATGCATAAGCCTATCAAGACAAATTATTTTTTTATTTTTAAAGATAATAATGAAGAGAAAGAGGGATGACTCTTATTATTTAGTAGAATGATCAAAACCATGAAACGTTTCACGTTGACATTTCTTTGTGAAAAACAAAAGTTTTAAATGTCTACACTTCTATCTCGATTAGATGCCAAACATACCAATGTGTTACAGACCGAGAATAATGAATGAAGACTTAGAGCAGCAGAATGTGAGTAAAATGTCAAATTTAAAATATTGCAGAACCAATTGAAAACGGTCGGATTCCTTTTCTATGTTTTTCCTAATGCATTTGTTTTAGAGCGAGGTTCAATTCCTAAGCAAATAATGTTTAAACTGCTAAAAATCATGTTTAACTGCTAAAAATAATGTTTAGCTAAAAAAAAGATCCATTAATTTAATTAGAAAATTTCTTTTTTCTTCTTTTTCTATTGCAATATGACAAAGATATTCAAAATCATTGTGTGTTTACATAAATACCTTCACTGTGCAGTTTAACACAATATTAAATAATACGCAACAAAACCAAACAAACCATAAATTCTAAGTTTTTCTTACTGATTGCCAAAAAATATATATTCAGAAAAAAAATTAAGCAAAAAAAAAATTCTATGGCTAAAAAAGCACAATTGAAGGTATCGGCAAATTAAAAATTCAATCGCACAGTGAAAGTTGTAGCATCTCTCACGTTTTTTTTTAATTTTAACGCCCACCCACCCCCACCCACCGATTAATTGAATAATCAATAATCAGATGTATTTTTGAAAATAAAATCTTTATCTACTTGAAAACGTTATTCCTATTTCAGTAATGTTTTGTTGCATCTAGTGAGAACTCATTTTTAAGCGCATTTGTGGAAAATAGTACATGTATATGGCCAAAGTTTATAATAAAGTAATTTGTATACTTTTTCACTCCAAAACGACGTGGGTGGATTTGACATAAGTATGAATACTCACAACCAGCTTTTAAGTAAGATATTTACACAAGTCTAATAAATAATCAAATTTGAAGTAATACTAATCATAAATCTTGTAAAAATTTTGTAATAATCAAATTTTAAACATTACTTTACACCAATTTTGTAAAATTTCTGTCATATGCTTTAGGTAAAATTGTATGCAAATAGATATGAACACCATCCAAACTTCAAATCATACAAACGCTTTTATTACACAATTCCGATAATGATTTCTGATAATGATTAATTTGTATTTTTTAACTATGTACATTTCATGTATGATGGAAAATATAGATAACTCATAAGATCGCAAGTAAATGATTTCTGTATACCGCATTCAGTAAAGTGAAATGCATGTATTACAATGTGCATTTAAAAATTCGTCTATTTCGTACTCGATTTTTCCCAAAGATGAATAGAATATCAGTATTGAACAGAGTAGAATATTCACATAAAGATGTTGATAACACCACAAATTTTATCACGTATTTCTAACTCTGATAACTATGTTTTAGCAAACATCACAACTAGCTAGCAAAGGAAAAGGACACAAGTATGTTTGTTATAAATCATATCCACATTCTAGAGTCAGTGTGAATTCAAATGTCAAAAATGAAGACCTCGCTACTTTCGTTGACACGGATTCCAACAGATCCGTCTAGAAAGAAATGAATTCTGGGATCGTGAAGACAGATGAACTTGCCTGGACGCACATCTCCCCAAGTAAAATATGGATATGGATTATCGTAATCAAGGTAAAATCCAACATATATTTCAGCATTATTTCCATCCTAAAATATATTGATCGGATATATAAGATTAAAATATTAATAAACAACTTTGTGTAGTTTTAAAAGATTTTTCATATGATTTTGAATGATTTTTTTAATGTTAATTTGGTTTTAATATTTTTTTCTTCATTTTCCTCATGCAAATTCGTTTACAGAATAATGTTACTTACTTGGATATACACACAATGGCGCCCTCCATAGTGGTGATATCTAGAAATAAATCCCACGAAGGACACTCTTGCATTACCAAAGCTCAAAGGAAACTCATTGGGTATTTCTTCAATATCCTCGATAATATACTGCATGGGGAACTTCCGCTCCACGTAAAGTTTAGCTTTTCTTCTTAGGTCTTTTGTTGTTGACTTTCGCATAGAAAGATCGGCAGAATCTGTTCTAAACATCGTTGACGGTCCAAACTTCATGTCGTGTCCATTATCAAAAGGTGTAAAACTATTACGGCTTTGGATAGCTTGAGAAGACACTCTGTCTGATTTAGACTTTTTCAGCTGTTCCTTATATCCATCAGTCTTTATCACGTCAACAATGTCCTTATTCTTTTTGCATATGGTCATATGGTCGGGCCAATGTTGTCTTTGACACGATTTCGAACAATAATCGACAGCCAGGCAACGTCCACACTTCTTGAGTTTTCCTATAGTTCCACAGAACGCACATAATGCATTCGAAGCATGGTCAGTCGAATCGCTCAATGGCTGTTTACTAAGTTCATCAAAAGAGGAATCACTTTCTTCATCACTTATCACTGTCTCTCCAGCATTCTTCAGCTCATTACACTTTGATTTGTGGTTCGTTATCCAGTCCCTTTTCTGACACTCTCTGCTGCAGTAGTACACCAGGAGGCATCGTCCACACTTCTGCATTCCCTGCCTGTGAATTCCACAGTTTTTGCATCTGTTTTCCATTTTGATCTGACAAAAATTTGTTCATGAACGTTTAAAATGTTTTATTAAGGACATCTTTGATTAATCAAGTCAAAGCTCTGAATGTTTAACTTTGACTCTTCAAATTTTTACTCAAGTTTAAGTTTAATTCATTATACCCATGTAAAGGTTTAAGAATCTATCAAATGAACAAAATAGTCCTTGTGCATGCTTAACCACTACTAATGATCCTCTCAAAATTAATCTTCACTTGGAAGAGCAAAGCAGAGCACTTGCACCAAATATACAAAAATTGAAAGAAATGTCAAATTAGAGTTAATACCATAAGCTAAATTGTCAAATTCTGGAAAAAACTACGATATTAGATGGAAAATTAACACTTTGACGTAAAATGTGAAGATAAAAAAAATCAATTAATTATTTTTTCTTGTACATGTACTTTTTATTTATTCGAGAACTCAAAGTAAAATTACATCCAAATATAATTGTTTATTTTTATTTATCTTTAATATAAAAAGTAAAAATATCCTCATAATCTTATATTTGCTTAGATTGATCTTTTGTATGTTGTATAATTTTTCTATTGTAGGATTAAACTTTCTTTTTGAAAATTTTATCGATGTGTAAACTCTTGACATTTTACTCACAAACTGAATAAAAGTGCGAAGCAGTTTTATGTTAAGTTTGTGAGTAAAATGTCAAGAGTTTACACATCGATAAAATTTTCAAAAAGAACGTTTAATTCGTATAATTCCAATTACGAAGTTTTTAAAATTATTTCTCTTTGAAGCCTCCATACAATCCGTTATTTCTGTATACATCGTGGGATTACTTTATGTCACGATGTGGAAATGAAACGTAATCGAAATGAACATCGATAAAGTTTAACTTAAATTGTCAAAATATTCAATAAAACAAACTTATAAAAACTCTTCGAATATTGTTCAAATCAACGAATATTGTAAATACAAGTAGACCAGAAGAATTTGTCCTTGACCATGTTGACCATATGGAGAAATGATGTACAGTTTATTCATGAGGTTGCTCCCACGTGATTTACTTCTCATTAATATTCATAAGATCCTGCATAAACTCGAAATACTCCATTTCTTTAAATTTTTATATTAAAACCTTCAAAAACAGTTTGTTTTGTTTTTAAGCATCCGTCATAGTTATTTGGGCAGAATTTTGGGTTATTAACAGTTGACAACTCATGAAACCATCTTTTTTTGTTAATAAGTATGTCACACTGATTCAAGAAATTGCCGTTTTCAAATTAAAAAGGCGACCGTTATTCTTCATGAAATGATAAATTATCTGTATTTTATAAAAAAAAAAAACAAACAAACAAACAAAAAAAAAACACACAAAAAAAACAAACAAACAAACATTCGTCTGTACCTAGTAATCGGCGGAAGAACTCTGTCAACTTGCAATAAACACATACATTTAATCACCAAAAATGATAAAGACACCAAGTCTGTGCTCTTTCCTTCATTCAAACATTATACTCTCGCTTCGGAATTTCAAATCAAAAAGGCGGTCGCATCTTTCACTTTGGCATCAACAATATTGTTATTTCCGGTAGAAGATATTAAGAAAAATCTAAATATCGGCGGAAGAACTTTATCCGAAATAGTTGTATATAAAAATCTGCGGTTTTTGTTCGTTCTCTATATAAAACTTTATGGAATCTGTCGCCATTATAGCTCCAATATGGCCGATATGTAAATATAAAAGAATGAACACTATTTCTCCATATGCATTCACGATAAACGCTCTAAGATGAAAGTAGCATACCGACGACACTCTTGATTTGCTCTGGTTTGTGTAAAGACGGTACAGAATATAGAATGAAGAAATACAAATTTGATGCTAATATGGCAAGATTCTAAGGTACGTTTCTCTTTCCTATCAGCTACCGAGAACTGAGCTGATTAGGAACGACGACAATCATATGAGATTTAGGCCTAAATAAAAATTCACACTCGTGATCTGACAGTGACATAAATATAACATTCCCGTCGGTCAATCCTGTATCAGTATGTTGTCAGTATTGATTTTATTTAATTTAAAGTTTCTGTAATCGTTTAGCTAAAACAGACTAGAAGTAACGATTTGTCTTTTTTACAATAAAAGCTACATGTAGGCCAAGAAAGTAGTTCTGGTTGAGAGATTTATCGATGTGTAAACTTTTTCTTGAATTTGTTCTCGTCCAATCTAAACACAGGAAATCTATAAATAAAATTAAGATTGGAATTATTAATTAATAAACTATTTTCGTCACATTTCAAACTGCTAATATTATGAATGTATGAAATATATCTTTTGTTTAAAACTTGAAATAATTTCTGAAAGAGAAAGATAAAACTTTAAATGTTTAATTTGTTGTATTTGCTTTACATACATTAATCCTACCTCTTTCTCCTCTTATCCCCAGTAAAGTTATCGTAAAAAGAGTTACGCAATATTTATAAGAAACTAAAGAGAAAGTACCTATATGTATGTACAGAGAAAAAAGGGTACAGTTTTTTGAAAAGCGACCTGTTTACGAAAATCCTTAATAAAAAGAAAGTACCGTTAAACTGGTATATTGATCATACATAGCATAATTATCCGGACAGTTTTGAGTGATCTTCAGTGTACTTTCACTTTCACCCTAAATTCTTTTTAGTTAAATATAGAAATTATGTACTATGTTATTTTTGTTTCTTACAATTTATCACACATAGACAAAATAGACAATCCAGTTTTATTCACAAACTTGTGCTGAATATAAAGTTTGATTATCTGATAGCAGTAATATAAACATTGTTGCATTATCATGTTATCGAGAATAGTCCTTGTATATGTTTTATATAGAGTACCTTTGAACGAGTGTATCTTCAGATATCAGACGAGGGGGCTTGTCCCCCTCGTCTGATATCTGAAGATGCACGAGTTTAAAGGTACTCTATATGTTTTGTATCATTGTTCTCAGGTATTGATCTATGATCTATCAAATTTACGTTAATAGCACTTAATTCAACTACATATTCTCATGCACTGAATTAGCCATGATCTATCAAAATTTCATCATACCATCATACCATTTTATATAACCAATGAAGAAAGAGCACGTGATTCGAAAAGTAAAGCGCGCTGCATTTCTTGTACTTTCTACGTCGTCCATTCATATTCTGAACGCCATGGAAGAAGGTTATGCTTTCGCAATTCTTATGGACACGGAAACCGAAATTATGAAGGAAAATTCCTTAGATCAGTTAGGAAACCAGATGCAGGTTAAAGATTCTTTGGGAAGTATGACGTTTGATCTACGGGAACTAAAAATTAAACCTTTTATGGATTTCGATATAGGAGATATTTTAGACATGATGGAGACTGAGTTGAGTGCGCTAATTTCACCAGTCCCAAGGTCGAGACGATTGATTGATTGTATATTGTTTTACGTCCCATTTGAGAATTTTTCACTCAAATAGAGACGTCACCACATACCGGTGAAGGGCTTCAAATTTTGACCTTTCCTCGGCACTCAGGGCCATTGAGCAGTGAGGGATCTTTATCGTGCCAACGCCTGCCGTGACACGGGACCTCGGTTTTTAAGGTCTCATCCGAAGGACCCGCAACTTTCACTTCAAAGTGCCGAGCGCATGGCGAAGGAACAGTTGCTACCTATTTTTTTATCGACTTAGGTCTGTCGCGGCCGAGATTCGAACTCACGACCTCCCGATCACGGAGAGAGCGCTCTACCGACTGAGCTACCGTGAACGGTAGGTCGTGACGAAGACGAAAAATGAAAGGTTTGTACAAGTGTCCGATCATGAAATTCAGCGTTTGATAGACTCTCAGAATAAATCCATGTAACGTTCAAGCTAAGGAGTGGCGTGCTGCATGGGAAAATGTCAACTTTTGACCGAGATGAACAGCGATTCTCTTAATTACTGGATGCAGCGATTTGTGTTGGAATTAGAAAACAAGGAATATCCACCTCACCCCCTGTACTACATTGTACGTGGTTTGTTACGCTTCAAGTTTATGAGAGACGAAAAAATTCATTTATAAAAATGTGCTCGTGTGAATTTCGTTTTGGATTTTAAAAAAATTGACGTGCAAAATTTAGAATTTTTTATGTAGACCTAAGGAAAGGTATACCTTCACTATGTTTATATGTGTTTGTATTGTGCTCATAAAGTCAGCTACTTTGTTTATATTCTTTTTCTTTATCAATGTAAGGTCAAGGAATTGTTGCATCATTACCCTGGTGTGTTCTATCTTGATAGAGCATGGTTGTTAGAGCACA